AAAAAACAAAACTATCAAGACTGACACAAGAGCCGGGGAGATAGTTTCGCAGGCATAAGCACCCGCCTGGCCAGTCAAGGTCCTGAGTTCAATCCCGAGGGCCAAAAAAGAAAAAGTAGGTCTCTTGCTGCAGCCATGCAAGAGGGAGCACCAGGAGCTTGGGCTCGGAGAGAGACCCTTCGGATTGTTTTAAGAAAATGGCAGACAAACCAGACATGGGGGAAATCGCCAGCTTCGATAAGGCCCAGCTGAAGAAGACGGAGACGCAGGAGAAGAACACCCCGCCGACCAAAGAGAGCACCGAGCAGGAAAAGCGGAGTGAGATTTCCTAAGAGCCCAGAGGGTTCCCGCCCCGTCCTCTCCGAGGCCCCCCAGTCAGGATGTGGAGGAAGAGCCACTTGCGAGACGGACACGAGCCACAAGCTGCCCTGCGGCCCCGGGCATTCCGCGCCCATGCCACGGGCCGTGGCTCTCTGAGGGGATCTCCCCACTCGGACTGCCAAATTCTCTGGTTTGACCTGGGATATTATAGAAAATTATGTGTATGTTGAATGAAAATAAAACACATCTCGTGGCATGAAAAAAAAAAGTAAATAAAGTGACACAAGAAGAAATAAAATTTAAATATCCCTATTCCTGAATTTAAAAATTAAATGTATAATTTAAAACCTTATCACAAAGGCAATTCTTGGCCCCCACAGCTACCCTGGGAATTGGGCCAGGAATAGAGAACCCAACACATCCCCCAGGCTCTGAAGGAGAGAAAATATTTCTCAACTGTTTTCTTGAGGCCAGAATAACCCTGACACTCAAGCACCTAAAGGACATTCTTTTTTTCTTTTTCTTTTCTTATATTAAAAGGGTATTCTTTTTTTTTTTTTTTTTTTGAACCGGGGATTGAACTCAGGCTCTTGCGCTTGCCAGGGAAGCGCTTATTCCACTGAGCTATCTCCCCGGCCCCTAAAAGGGTATTCTAAGAAAAGAAAATTGCAAAGTAACTCAGATGAAAACAATCATTAGCAAGATATTCACTGTATTGTCCAGAAATTAACAAATCATCTAATTTGCATTTACATCTAAGAACCATTTGACAAATTCAGTCCCTATCATTAAAATTAAAGCTCTTTTTTTTTTTTTTTTTGCAGAACCAGGGATTGAACTCAGGTCCTTGTGCTTGCCAAGGAAGCACTTATTTCACTGAGCCATCTCCCTGGCCCCAAAGCTCTTAACAAACTAGAAATACCTACGACAGAACTTCCTCCATACCCTCAGAGCTTTCTCTTACTCTTGGAAGTGCACTCAGATCTCCGGGTAAACTTGGCAATCCTTCTGCCTCCGCCTCCCTAATGGGGGGATTACACACACGCGCCACCACAGTAGGTGAGATTTTGGTTCTGTGAAGCTTGGTGGTGGGTGTGATGGTGCACAGCCGTAATCCTAGCACTCAAGAGGCTGAAGCAGGAAGATCTCTCAGTTTGAGGCCAGTTTGAGCTATATAGTGAGTTCAAGCCTGGACTATATAGCAAGATCCAGTCTCAAAAAAATTTTTTTAAAATTATTTATTGAGACAGTCTTGCTATGTAGTTTATTTATTTTTTTTGCAGAACCCGAGATTGAACTCAGGCCTTTGCACTTGCCAGGGAAGTGCTTACTCCACTGAGCCGAGATCACCCCAGGCCCTTCAAAAATTTTTTTGATCTAAATTTCAGTAACCACGTGCATCTAATGAATGTCCTATTGACAGTCTGTTAAGAGGTTTGGTTCCTTCTGACACTCCTTGGCTTGCACAAGTGTCACCCAATTTCCTCCTCCTCCTCCTCCTCCTCCTCCTCTTCTTCTTCTCCTCATGATGTCCCCCTGGAATGTGCATCTGTATCCACACATCCCCTTTCTCTAGGGACACCAGTTGTGTTGGAGGAAGGGCCCACCCATTCCACAGTGACCCCATCTTAACTAATTACATATGCAGTGACATTAGGCCCTATTTTTGAGGTGCTGGGAGTTAGGACTTCAACACAGAAACTGTGGGGAGACATGCTCTGGCTCGTGTCCAGATGTCCCCCCCAGAGGCTCGTGTGGTCATAGGTGGGGCTTTTTGCAGAGGAGGCTGGATCTAGTGTGTGACATTGGAAGTGTACCCAGATCCCTGGGGAACTTGCTGATCCTTCTGCCTCTGCCGTCCTAAACACTGGGGTTACAGGCGCGTGAGGGGCTAGGATCAGGAGTGCTAGGGTGAAGCGTGTGGTGCTGCCTGCCCTGAGCAGCCCAGGGAAGACCCAAGGGCTAGGGAGCGCTGTGGGCGGCCCTTTTTGCGTTGCTTCCTTCTGCCTGCCATGGGCCACCTCTCCTCTGCGGTGTCTGTCTGCCAGGCCACCCTGCTTTGGAGCTGGCCTACTGTGGAAAGCTCTACAAACTGCAAGCTAAATAAGCCTCCCCTCCCTTAACTTGTAGGTATTGGGTATTTTGTCTCAGCAATCAGAAAAGTAACTAAGCCTCATCTCTCAAAACACTGAGAAATCCTACCTATAGAAGATAGAAAATCTTCCAGGCATGGTGGCACCCGCCTGTAATCCCAGCACCCTGGGAGGCTGAGCCAGGAGGACCACAAGTTCAAGGCCAGCCCGGGCAACTTAACTTTGTGACTCCTGTCTCAAAATAAAAGTTTAAAAGAGAACTGGAGATCTAGCTCAATACAAAAGCTCGAGATTTAATCTCCAGTGATCTCAAAACGAGAAAAAAAAAAAAAAACCCAAAACCTAGAAAACACAGAATTCTCTGCCTGATAGGTGGACTCTGTCAGGCGGCACTGGCCGTGGTGGCCTTCTGGTGCCTGTCCAGGTGCCGCTTGCTCCTCAGCAGCGTCTCACTTTCCTCTCCAGCCTGCTTCCTTGGTGTGCAGGTGGCAGACAAGCCAGCCTATCGTCCATCATTTTTCTTTCCCTCTGCTTCCCCTTCAGGGCAGCCTCAACTCTGAAAAGGCTGATATCTAACGGGGTGCTGCCTCAGGAGGCCCAGCCCCCCACAAACATTGCGCACATGCCCCCCCAGGACTACCTGGACTGGATCATCAGCCTCCCCAAAGAACTGCAAGGCGATATCATCTACTTCTCCCCCTCCTGCAGCCTTCTGGTACAGAAGGAAGAGGTCTGTTGGCGGGAGGAGGAGGATGCTTCCCGAAGGCCCCAGAGAATGCTGGGAAACATGTTCCAGTATCCCCTGGAGCAAGCAAGAGTCCTAACCATGACCACCATTTCTATGTGCTACAGCCTTTGCTAAATTCAACTCCAGGGTCCCTATTTGTTCACAGAGGAAACGAAGACCCCAGTTTGTGGACCTGACCCAGCTAATACCAAGGAGGGAAAATGTTAGCGTGTCTCTCCACCGTGCCCCACACACAGCCCAGTGTCTCCTCCTCTGCCCCAGGCTGGCATTGCTAATCAACCACCACACCATCCCCCAAAGTGGCGCCCACAACTCTTCCCTCCCCACCCCCAGTTTCTGCAGGGCCCTGGCCTGGCATATGCAGCCTTCTCCCAAGCCGTCTCACTGTTCCCTGATGCCTCCTTCTGGGCCATCATCTTCTTCCTGACTATGTTCACCCTTGGTCTGGGCACATCAGTAAGAATCTTGGAGGACATTGTCCCTTCCTTCCAAAACTCCATCTCCTTCTTCACCAGCCACCCGAGGCTGATCACAGGTACCACAGACTCTCATCCCATTAGAAACCCTGCCCTGCTGCCCCTTGCATCCGCCTCCCCAGCTCATGCCAAATTTCCAAGATTGCCTTTGACCCCCACCCAGCCCTCCTCGTAGACCTTAGTGTAGCCACACCTGCCTCTGCCTAGCGCTCCTCTGCCTGGGGGGCTTCCTGGGCAGCCTCATCTTCACCAGCCAGCCCGGCAGCTATGTGCTCTCTCTGTTCGATGACTACCTGGTCCCTCTGAACCTCATCATCATTGTGATGCTCCAGAATGGGGCTCTGATCTGGATCTATGGAGCCAAAAGGTGATGTCCAAGCCCTAGGGCTGCCCCCAGCAGGGCTGGGGTCCTCACAGGAGTGGCAGAGTGACCCTGGGCAGCGAGAGTGCTGGGGTGGTGCAGACCCCTTGGTTGAGGGGTTCCCACATGGGAGGCCCTGAGAAAGGGAGGCCCACCTTGCTGGGGCCCATGTCCCAGAGCTCCCTGATCGCCATCTGCCCAGGTTCAAGCAGGAGGTGTTCAGTCAGCAAGTCGGCCTGCTGCAGCCCGCCTGGGCCTTCCTGTGCCTTTACGTGACGCTGCCCGGGCTCCTGGTCCTCCTCACGCTGTGCCTCCTACGTCTCCACTTCCAGTCGGCTGCCTACTACTTCAGCTGGAATAGCAGCATGGTGAGGCGTCCACCCCACTCTGGAGGCCCAGGCGGTTCTGGCAGATCCCGGGTCTCTGGGTCTGGGTGCCCTTCTGCCCCTTACCCAGTGTCTCAGTTACTCTTTTCATTGCTGGGACAAAGTACCCAATACCCAAAATGAAGGAACGAAAGATTTATTTAGCTCACAGGGGAGGTGGAAGCCCCGCTGGCTCCAAGGCAGAGAGAGTGGCACATGGCACAGAGCAGAAGTTCATGGTGGCAGCCAGGGGTGGAGCGAGGGCCAGGGGCACGGGCAGCTAGCACGCCTCGCTCCCCTCCTCACATCGTAATGCACATTACCTGCCCGAGGGCGGGTGCAGCACCCACAATGATTACAAGAAGCCACCCCAGGACTATGAGGCTTTGGGGGAGCACCTAGACACAAACCTTAATACCAGCCTCCCAGACTCTGGGGAGTTCCCTCCCAGCCGCACTTGCACGGCCCGAAGCCCCCTCCCCTTCTCTCTGCCCCCAGAGCCAGGAAGTCAGGCAGCCCTACCCACAGAGCAGCCTCAGCCGGGCTGCCCTCCTCGCCCTCCTCACCCTTCTGCCAATCCCGGCCTACGCTCTTCACCACTGGTGGCACTCGGAGAACAGGAACAGGAGGCCCTCGGCAGTCGCGCAGGCCACAGGGAGCCTCAGGAGCTCCAGGAGGCAAACCGACCTCAGTAACGCGCATGAAGCCCAGAAGACCTGGCTGCAGCGGCTCCACCTGCCCTGGCTCCGGCACCTGCGCCTGTCCCTGACGGGGGCCAGCAAGAGCTCCTCCCAGTCCACTCTGCCTCGGATGGTCTCCCGGTTCTCCATGAACGTCACCCCCTCACAGCAGAGGAGCTCCAGCTCTGCGCCCGAGAACAATGCTGATGGCCATGAGGAGACGGCGGGAGAAAAGCTGCCAGAAAACTCCAGCAGTAGCTGGTGCTACCTGTGAGCCGAGGCCACAGATCTGTGTGCTACCTGAAAGCCTGGGTACCCACCTTCCTCTGCTGGAAGTGGTCAGGGTCCTAACCCCCCAGGGATGTCAGTGGCACCTTGTGTCATATGGTGTCCCTGTCTCATGGTGACATAGCTGGAAATAGAATCTGGGTCCCCAGCGGCCGTGAGAACCTTTCCATTTCATTTCCTCAGCCAGCCTCGCCTCCTCCCCCGCCTCTCACTGATCCGAGCCCTCCCGTGGCTCCCCGGCATCCAGGGGCCAGCCTGGCTCTCCACTGTGATGTCCCCATCAGATCTATCCAACCTCTCCCCATCTTACGTGGCGGTGTGGGATCACCCGGCCAAGCGTGGGGAGCAGGGCCCTGTCTTCACCCTCTGAACACATGGCTCCCCTGTCCATGGTGACTTCCTGCTTTTTCCCTCAGCTTTGTTTCCAGCTCGTCCTTAGACAAAATGTCAGCTCTGCCAGGAAATTACCAAAGGCAGCCTCTTCCCCCAGCAGAGCCTCCAAACTCCATCTCATTCATTCATTTATCCTATGAAGAATATTTCTTTTTCTTTTTTAAAATTTGTTTATTGTTTATTGTTTTGTTTTTGAGACAAGAGCTTACTATGTAATCCAGGCTGGCCTCAAACCTGCAGCAATCCTGCCTCGGCACCCGGTTCCTGGGATCACAAGCACATGCCACCACACCTGGCAGTGCAGCTAAGAATATTTTATTGAGTGTAAACTCTGAACCAGAAACAAAACAGGCAAAACCCCTGGTTCTCCCAGAGGAGCTCACTTCTGGCGTATGGGTGGGGGTGGGAGGAGGCAGTGCTGGGGAAGCTGAAGGGGGCGCTGGCTCCTGGCCCCTTGTCCTCCTCTCTCCCATCAGCCCAGCTCCTGCTCTCCAAGGCAGAAGGACTTTTGCCCGGGCACCTCACCCGACAGGGAACAAACTCCCAGAAGAGCGAGTTCCTGCGTGCTGTGCGTCACCAAGGCCAGAACCGTGCCAGGCTCTGTTTCCCCTCGACCAAACCTGGAGCCTCCCAGCCAGAGAGACCACTCAAGTTTGGGTACAGTGACAGGGTGGGCGTGAGGCAGGAGAGGTGTGAGGAGCAGGAGAAACAGGAGTGAGAGCTTTAAAAATCCAGGTGGGGTCCGGGGAGCTAGCTCGGCAGCATAAGCACCTGCCTGGTGAGCACAGGACCTGAGTTCAATCCCTGGTACTGGAACAAAGCAAAAACAAGGAAATAAAACAAAGCATCATATGTCAGGGTGTCTCAGCAGGGTAAGAAGAATTCTGGAAAACCAGTTCTCTAAGTGGCCTTTCTCAAGCAGCCGGCCCAAAAACTCTTCCCAAATGAAAGATCTGCACACTGGCGCCTTTGAGCCTTGTGGGGCGGGGTCTTGCTGATTCCTGACACGCCCTCAAAGCATCTTTCTTCTTATCTCTGTGAAAAGTACTTGGGTCCTTTTTAACAGCACTAATCTCTTCAGCAGTCCCACCTCTTTTGCCTCCTATTTTACACATTGGTCCTTTTGGACCAAAATTTAAGTTTTCCAAATTTTTCCTTTTGGCCTCAGTTCTCATTCTAAAGATGGCTAAAGATGGCTAAAAAGAACCCAGCAGTGCCCATGCCACGACCTGGATGTTGAGCTGTCTCAAAATGTCCTCCAGCTTGTCTGCGTGCCTGAGCATCCTCTTGCCTCCGGGCCTAACCATGGCTTCTCATGAGACTTTGAGAACCCAGTGATTCCTGGCCACGAAGCAAAAGCAGAATCGCCCCATTCCTCAGTGGGTTCAGCTGAATCAGGCACAGCTCCAAGAAGAGTCACTGGAGGAGACCGAGGGGCTGCACTGGGCTGCAGCACATTCATCCTCTCAGAGGCCAGACGATGATACCTTCTTCATCCTGGTCAAGATTATGTCACTGGCCGGCGAGATAGCTCAGCGGTCTAAAGCACCTGCTTAGGCAAGCGTAGGCAAGTGCAGGGACTGCGGTTTGATGCCCAGCACCACATGCCACGCCAGCCTGGCCTTCAGGACAAGCTGAGCCAGCCACAAAAGAAAAAGAAAAAAAGATATCACCATGTGATATCAAGCTGAAAAAATACCACCAGCTGGACAGTTAATGTGCTTGGTCAGGAAGCTTCTGTGGTTAGCACTAGTGGGTGAGTCAACAATAAATATTTGAAACCCTTAAAAGGAAATTTTTCTCCACCAGATTAATTGTACACATTCTTTGTTGAAAGGCTTCTCTATTTAAGGACTGTTTGGATTTACAACTGAGGTGTGCTGTTTGGGTTCACAACCCACTGCTCAGATTTATAGCCCATCTTTTTTTTTTTTAAGAAGATATTCAGGAAAAGAAGAAGA